TGCCAGAAATCTTGGGTATTTATTGGCTTATAGATGCATCACTACAATCTCTGCTTCTGTCATCACATGACATTCTCTCCTATGCTTCTGTCTGTGTCTCTTCTTATAACAGTAACAGTCTCGTTGGCTTAAGGGTCCATATTACTCTGTTATGACCTGATCTTAACTAATTGTATCAGAAATTGACCTGCTTCCAAATAATGACCTTCCAGAAAGACATGACATTTTGAAGGACGCTATCCAACCCAAAACAAGGATGAAAGAAGAAATCAATGGTGACTTTAAAGTTTTTAATTTTGATGACAGAGGAGTGTGGAGCTATGTATTGATGTGGAGAAGATTGAATAAAGATCATGCTGGGGACTGGATTCAGATTATGAGCTATGTTAGGCAATGTCAGGTATGAGATTTTTAGTTAGATGTGGAGATCAAGAAGGCAGTTGAGTGCATGAGTTTTGAGTTCACAAAAGAAATAAGTTTGGAGATACAGATTTGGAAGTCGTTAGCATAAGAATACACTTAAAGCCAGGGAACTTAACAGGATGAGCCAGGGTAAGGATAACCCCTAGAGTACTCCAACCTTTAAGGATTTGGAAAAGGATAAAATACAAGAAGGGAGACTGAGAAGTGGTAAGTGAGTTAAAGAAGAAACCAAGGGTTCAACACCTGCCTATAGTGTGAACATGCGGTGTTTGATTTTCCGTTCTGGGTGTGGAACAATGAGAACACAGGGACACAAGGAGGGGAGCATCACACACTGGGGTCTGTTGTGGGGGCCAAGGAAGGGACAGCGGTGGGGGGAGGTCACGGAGGGATAACATGGGGAGAAATGCCACATGTGGGTGACAGGGGGATGGAGGCAGCAAACCACATTGCCATGTGTGTACCTAATGCAACAATCCTGCATGATCTGCACATGTATCCCAGAACCTAAAGTACATTAAAAAAAAAAAAAAAAAGAAAGAAACCAAGGGTTTATTAGGTTAAGGATTTCAAATGAAGAAATGAATTATATTTCAAGGAAATAAACATGATAAATTCTACCAAATAACACTGAGAGATTGGGCTAAATGAACACAAATCAGCAATGTGAAAATTATTGATAAACTTGAAATGAAGTGGTTTCAGTGGGGGACAAAATTTTGATTGGAGTGGGTTAAAAATAGAATAAGATATGAGATATGGAAACAGCACTATGGATATTTTTGTATGACAATTGATATAAAGTTATCTAAATAATTGGAAGTGGGTTGGAGGTACAGTATTAAGGATGCAATTTTGTTCTTTAATGATGCAAGATATTATAGCATAAGCAGGTCTTCCATGATGCTTATGTTAATATAAGGCCAGGGAAACAATGGAAATATAAGAAAGATAGGATAATTGATAGACATCAGTCACTACATAAACTCAAGAAGATATAATTGAATGTATAAGGGGAGGAGTTGGTGTAGAAAAAAAGATAATCACAATAAACAATTACTTCACAGTTAGAATTAATGGCTGTCAGAGTTTCACATGCCAACTTTCTGGCTAACACCACATTACCCAGTTCATTTTGATTTGTTAGAATGCTTTGGTGCTCTGGTGTAAGCAATGTCAGCAATGTGGAGCAATAGCGATCATCTATCATGTAGTATACAGTACATTAACCATGTTTCTAATATGTGATCAAAACTTCAGTAAAATTCTTTGCACTGACTACTTTATCCACCTGGAATGAAAGCTCTTACAGCATTACATAGTCACCCTCTGGCAAGTTATGTTTCAGATTTCACATTTAAAACTTTTTTCCCAGGGTCGCCACAAAATTTAACATCTAATGCTGGATCATTTTGAAAGTGAAACGCATAGCTACAATAATGACACTGGAAAAATAGACATAAACCAAAACGTTCTATAGCAAATGGGGTATAAAACCATCCTTTTTATCTTCCACTTTTTCGTATCTTTTAATATTCATTTCAAAACGTTCTAATTTCAAAGCATTCTTCCAAGATTATTTTGAACATTAATAACAACTCAAAGTTAACATTAAAGAGACCAACTTGGTTAGAAAAAAAAAGACAGAACAACTTAAATATGCTTCAGGATAATTTATTGAAATGACTGGAAAGGAAATAGACCCTTAAAGAAATAATAATAAGCACAACCCACAGAAACAATTTTTATGCATATTTTGATATGTTTGTAGCATTTCCTAATGAATACTGAACTTCTGTGGTACTAGTTGAATTAATATTCGGAAAATGTAAGCAGTTCATGAGTCAAAATGCAAATTAAATGAATGACATATAATATATTAAATAAATAAAGAAATAAAGCTCCATTTTTTCATGTAAATTCATTCAAACATACTTAATTTGGGATAATATAATACAAAGATGGAAAAGACGTCACATTTCCAGTCTCAGTCAATTCTGTGAAGTAGAGAGCAAATATATGATTAGTTGTGTTATAATATGTGACTATTCATCTATCTTCCTTTTTAACTTTGGTGTGACTAATTCACAAAAGAAATTTTATTACAAATGTATTTTGTTGTAGTCTGGAGGCATATAAAGATTGTATATAGCTAAATGTTAGCTAACATGAAATTGTTTCTGTAAAATTTCTATTCTTTCATAATCACAAAAGTCTTTGTATCTTAACATTGCAATGCTATCCTCTCCTCTTTTTAACCTTTACACTTTGAGTAATTTTGACTCATGAATTAAACGACAATTTTAAGTAACTACAAAGCTTATGAAGGCGAGGTTAGGAATAAAAATGCAAGTAGGTTTTTGACAAAAATGCAAATGAATTTCCATAAAAATAAATTAAGACACATATTCTGTTTTTCCTAAAAATAATGATAATCAAATGTAAGTATACAGGCCCTTGAAAGCAAGCCAGTCAAGTCTGTCAGGTGTACATAAATAAAATTAAAGTTATTTGAAATGCAAAAGATAATTTCAGTTCAGTAAGTGATAGTCAACCATTGAAAATAAGGTGATAATTAATTTAAAAAATTTCTTGCATGTATGGAATTTTCACTACCTTGGACTTCTCTAGGATAACTAAATGTAAAACGACATCATGTGTAAAAATGATCAATTTAATCTCCAAACTCCCAAAACTTACCAAAATGAGGAGGGAACATTAACTTTGAAATCCTCTTAGACCTTAAAAAAATAAACAAATACAAATATATCAATAATTGACCTCTTGGTAAGGAAACTTGCTTAAGAATGTTGTAAGTAGAGAAATAAGCATCTCAATCTTTTGACTTTATATATATTTATAGCAAAAGCAAAATGTGAAGTAGAGCATGTGTGAAACAGATGTGCACAAGGGAAATGATAGAACTTTTTTTAGCATTTTTGTTCCCAATTCAATAATATTATTAAATTTAATTCCAGCTTTTGTAAGCCTTAATTACTTTATCTAAATGAGAATTCTCAACAGATTAATTAAATCAGAATTCATCCAATAGTGTTTTTTTGTTTTGTTTTGTTTTGTTTTCCCCAACACTCAGTTTCCTCTACACAGAAAACCAGAACAATTATATCAGAATCTCTTGGTAGGCATAGGCACTGGGATTTGCAACGGAATATTTCTCCAGGAGGTTCTATTGTATAGGTAGGCATTAAGGATCACTTAACTATACTTTTTTTAAAAAATTCATTTACTGTACATTTATTCTTTCATTCTACCATCACATACACATCTCAAACGAAACAGCAAAGTCAGTAAATTTGGACTTACACTAATGGGCTTCTGAACTGGGGCAAATGGCTGAGACACAGGGTAGATCTGGTGGGTGGGGTCAAGTAAAAGTTCTTGATTGACCAAAAAGGCTGCAGCAGGCACATCTCTCTGAGGGTAGGGCACCACTTGCTGAGGGATGGGCTGGACTTTGGGCTGAGAAACAGACCACAGGGGCTGAGGAGGAAGCACAGGAGTCTGAGGAGGAAGTGCAAGAGTTTGAGGAATAGGCTGAGGGACCTGGTGCATCATGGGCTGGAACAGAGGCAGAGGAAGATGCAGATTTTCAAGAGCAGTGAGTTTCAGGAGTTGAGGGTGAAAAACGGGCATCGCTGGAGATTTAAGGATGGGCATCACTTTGTTCTTAGTATAGACAGTGTCTTTAGCTTTAGAGACTTCCATTATTTCAGGCTGAGGGACAGGTAGCACCACAGCAGGCTGAGCAAGAGGCAGAATGCTTTGTGGAAAGAAAGGGTAGGGGATAGGCTCAACGAATGGATAGATTAGAGGCTGTGGCTGGAAAGAGGACTGGATTTTATCTTGGTGTTCATCCTGGAAAGAAGGAAAAAGAATCGTTCAGGTCCTTGATTCAGCTATAATTACCATTCATAATGAACTGATTTCTCTCTTTAGACAGTGATAAGTGAGTGAAAAGAGAGGAAGAAAATCTTTCACTTATTTTGATTAAGAAATTATCTTGAGTCATGTGAAGAAAAATGAATAAAATGTTTGTTAAAAGATTTTAATCCACTCACTTTATGAGTAACT